ACCTAGAATCACGGAAATGGTTAATCAAAAGAATGTGGTTTGTTATCAGTATGACTACAATGAGTATATACATCCCTTGTCAACAACCAGATGGTCCCCTACCTTGAGCAATGCTAAAGGAAACGGGACAGCACCAAAGCTCTATGAAACCATATTGGGTAACAAGCAAGGGGTCCTATATAAACTATCACTTCACATTGAAGGTAACTAATCTAAGCTGAATCAGACTCACTTAAAAACAACTCTCTACACTTAGAGAGTACCTTCCTTCTTCTCCGATTACTTACTCCCACACAGGAGGGGTTATCCGGCCAACTCCGACCAGGCGACTCTAACGGTGCTCATTGTTGCAGGGTCTTAATTCTTGGATAGTCCAATCAGGTATGGAGCTCCGATCCACAATCATCTAGTGCAGTATTCGGTACGCACACCCATCCTCCGATCCAGTCCAAGTTTCATTACTTACACAAAAAAGCCCAACTTTAATTCTTGGAAGCATAGTATTGGTAGGATAATCAAAACATTGCCATACAACAACACTACTCCTTCCATTAATATCGCCACATTGGAACAACTCTATATTACCCAGATCCAAGAGCTATGCTGAATAAGAACTGTTTATTGCAGCTTCTGTTGAAACATTTGTATACCAAAGTGTTGTAACGTTTTGGGTACTGTCGCCATAGATAACAGGTTTCCATCTTGGTGGATGGATATTGCTCCGGACTTACCATTGATTGGGTAGTCTTAATTGGCAACCCAAACTACAGTTTGTTTGGAGGTCTTGTAGTACCATATTCTGACATACTTGAGACTGGATGATTCATTTCCAGGACTAAAAAACCCAATTGCAAAGGTTTGTCTCACCGTTGGAGACTAAAAGATCACCATCTTTGATGGGTCGGGTTGGAGTTATGGTGTCTGTGGAATTACAAAGTCAAAAGGAAATAAACAGAGTTAGGGAAATATTGAAAACTTTTTTTTAGGATTCATCATTTTGGTTTGCGATTCTCTTCTAATTGGGCAATTTCTTCTATTATTATTGTGTTTACATTATATAAGATAGTCAATGGAAATTGGCCGAGGAACATGGGTAAAATTGGGGGCAACTACACCCAATGGAATGCAGAAAAAAAAAATACAAATCCATAAAAATATATATATATAAATTTAATTATTAATATTAATATAATTTTTTTATTAATTTGTAATTAATTTTTCAAATATCCACTGATGTAATATTTTTCCATAAAATTGTACACTTGGACAAGAATCACCTTTCGGCCCACGCGTACAGTCGCCCCACCTATCAATAATTAAACAGTGATACTGAGAACTTAGGAAAAAAATAAATAAATAAATAACTTAGAAAATGAAATTAATGGCTAAGATTTACTCAAAATTCAGTCCTGAAACAATAACTTTAAACACGCACGGTAGATTTATGGGTAAAATACAAATGGGCAAATTACAAAATTACATCGGTAGTTTTTACATTTTATTTCTTGTGTCATTTTGGTCATTCTATTTTTAATTACTCAATTTTGACCCTTAATTTTAAATTTTGTGTCAATTTGATCTAATTGATTATGTCATTAGTGTTTTTGATGAAAAATAATCACTGAATTAGTTCAGATTGACTCATTGAGTTTAGTAAATTTATAATTTTATTCACAAAAATATGACACATGTCATTTATATATGCATATTTTTCATAAAAAAAATGCTAAGAGTTGTAATCAAATAGACTAAATTGAAATAAAATTATAAATTCATGGTCAAACTTAAGCCAATTAAAATTACGGGAATAAAATGATACAAGAATCAAAGTATAGGAACTACTATGCAATTTTCCCAATACAAATATTCCATTTGAGATTTATTTAAAATGCAGATTGATCCTTGTAGTTTTGAAAATTATAAATATTCCCATGTCAACAAAATTTATTTAACATAATTAACATAAAAAATTAAATTTTTAACTACTCATTTATGCAACAACAAAATTATCTGAATTATTAATTGAAATATATTTTTGACATCATAAAAAATTATAATTGACCTGATGGTTTATTAATAAAATGAGTTATTTGTTATGTGATTAGAAACTTGAAGGAGTGGGATATAATTTTCAAAATTACATAAGACAATCTGTAATTTAAATAAATTATAAGAAATGTATTTTTAATTTATCATAAATTTATTTTTCATGATAAAAATCTGAGACCATTTTCCGGTCTCCTAAACTTTTCTATACTCTAATCAAATTATATTTTCATCAGTAAGTCCAACTTCAACAATGATGAATCATCTTTATTTTAAATTCAAAAAACGGTTATGGAAAATCATGATTCATCTAATAACATGTTAAATATAAACTGTTATTTTTATATTTTGATGACATGTTAACTTATACAATGAAATAGAGATTTTTATGAAATGGGGAGGATCAAAATCCACATACATGATGCTAGCTAAATCTCAATATATAACTTTGCTCATCTAAACTTTATTATATATATCTCAAATTATCTAAAAATTATTGAAAGTTGTAACGCCCTCAAAATAATACATAAAGCCCAACAACTTTGACATGCATAGATAATAAAGAAATAAACATCTTTCCATTCATCAGAGTAGTTAAGTACAAAAGTATTACATGTTGACAACAAAAGTAAATGCCCTATGGGCTTACAACTTTCCAAGCCAATTCTTGGTTACAAGAAGAGAGTACTAACTCAGATACATATTAAATCCTTGGCTTGAATTTACATGTAATACATCAAAAATTAACAGAACAACAAAAGAGTCTTCAACTCCCAGAACCTCCCAAGCTATGATCTTGGAGGTGGCATATCACCTAGACCTGGAAATGATATCCCATATAGGGTGAGCCACAGCCCAGTAGAGATATACTAAACCAAATATGAACAATGACTAAATCATGGCATTTGACAGATGGTTAACACATATAAACCAATATATCTCACAATACAATTCCATGACTATCAAGTCCTTGTTACAATCTGTTTTCCTTTACTTATCAAATCGTTTCATAAATGTGGCTCAGAACCTGGCCATATAATTTAAATGAGATTATGTCTCATATTAATAGTACATCCATTTCAATTGGGATAACAACTTATATTAAACATTTCCTTACTCCACAATAGATACACATAATTGCTGTATCAATCTCAAACAAAACACTTCCATACTTCATATATGATATACAAATTTGTTATATCAATACTTCAATAGATACACGTATTTGCTGTATTAATGGAGTACATCCCCCATCTCCTCCCAAACAATGTCCGGTTTAGGAGTCCATCCCCTATCTTCTCCTAAACCATGGAGTACATCCTCTATCTCCTCACACACAACACAATGTATATAAACACATATCATATACATGGTCAATTAATACATAAATTTGATGTATTATTCCAACTGCCATACTCGATGACACATTCAATTGATTAGTTTTAGTTCGCCTAATCATCATGCATTGTCTACAACATTCAAGACTATCCTCTACTGATAGCCCAAAGCAGTTATTTCTAAACAGAAAATAAATGCATAAACAAATATAATATCAACATTTCCATAGGTGAGTAATAAATTAATCCAACTACACCACTTAATCTCATAATTTCCCAATTTCATTATTCTCAACTCAATTTCACAATTTCCCAAATTCATTATACAAATTAATTTATCATTATAATATGGGCATTTTTCCCAAACCCTCAATATTAACCCTAAGGTCCATTTTCATCAATAACACCACAATAAATCCATCTTCTCAAGGTTTCACATAGACATGGGTCTCAATATTTGAAAACCTCCTTCTTTTATAAATTACAAAACAACCCCAACTTTTCTCAAAATTACACAATATCACCAACAAATCAAAATGACCAAAGTTAAAGACAAAACTCATAAGATGGAGTAGGTTATCCCTACCTCGAAATTAGAAGCTCAAAGAAGAAGATGACCAAAATCCAAAGTGCTCCAAATCCAAGATTTTTCAGATTAAAACAAAGCTCACACCACCCTCTACCTTTTTTACAAAGAGATTAGGCTAGGAACTCACTAAAAATAGATGAAAACCTAGAGAGAAGGTGTGCAGAGAGAGAGAGAGCTCGGATCTAGGGTTTGTGTAAAGAAAAGAGATGAAAAAGTGAGGTATTTCCCGCTGCTGTGTACTGATACAACACAGGCTCACTCAAGTGAAGGATTGGTCGCTCGAGCGACCAGACACAAAGAACCCTCGTTCGAGCGAAGAAAGTCTCGCTCGAGCCAACAACTGGAAGCTTCAGGTCTGCAACCCAGAAGCACGCTTAAGCGACAGAATGCTCGCTCGAGCGAAGAAACTCAAAACATACACCTCGCTCGCTCGAGCGAAGGAAAGCTCGCTCGAGCCAAGAAACACAGCTCTCAGGTCAAAAATGAGACGCAAACGCACGCTCGAGCGTAAGACTTCTCGCTCGAGCCACCAGAAACAAAACTCAACTCTTGCTCGAGCGAAGGAAACCTGGCTCGAGCGAAGGATCTATAACAAAGAGCTCGCTCAAGCGACAACAGTCTCGCTTGAGCGAAGAACCAAAATTCTGGGCAGCAACCATTTGCTTTCAATCAACCCAACCTGTAACAAACCTGCCAATAACATCCTATAACTCAAATACAAAGTACTGAAGGACGGAAACAAGATAAATACAACAACCAACATCCACGGAACTAAAGCCGGATGACACTAATCAATGGAGGGAAAACCAGGGTCGCTATAAAAGTTATTAAGAATGCTCTATTATGTAATAAACTAATTTTTTTAGCACCTAAACCCCACAACTTTAATCAATTCCGGAGCATCTCAAAACCATCACAAAAAATAAATAAATAAATAAAAAAGAAAAAAAAACAAAGAATAGTATGAATGGAGGGAGAATATACAATAAAGATTTTTTTTTTTTTTAATTTTTAAAGAGGGGCTATAACAAAATTAAGGGATACATATACAATTTCTAATGAAAAAAAAAAAAAACACTGTTTAATCAAAAATGCAATTTTAAAAACTTAAGAAAGGCAACTGTCCACCTTGGTTGCATTTGGCCCCATCGTTGCAGGTAGAAAATGTTTTATCGAGCCGCTAGGCATGTCATAGTCACTTCGTTAATACTAGGACTACTTTTAAGTAATGACTGATCATGTGTGATGATAGAACTCCTCTCAGTATAAAAACCAGGTTGCTTGGGTTGAGGCAAAATTGCATTGTCACTAACTAACATTAAGAACACAGATGACATCGTTGGCCTATCTTCGGGGCATTTTTGCACACATAGGAGACCAACTTGTATGCACCTTAATACCTTGGACATTGGAAATGAACCCTCCATCATTGGATCTAATAACTCAGAAACCCTTCCTTCAGTCCAAAGGTTCCATGCCTGCAATGGCTCAAAATATATGTAAAAATTAAATATAAGAAAATATAAGGAAAGTAAAAAAAGATTATTTTTAATAAATCAAAAACCGCCTCCAATGCAAGGTTACATTCAACCTACCCTTGCAAGGTAAGTTTTGGATGGTTGCAACTACCCACAAACCACAAGTACTGGATAAGTCAGGGTGTTGCTAGTGGAACACAATATCCTTGGTTTTATAGTTGGTTTGTGTTTCGACCTCGAACCATTAAACTATAGGTTGTAAGAAGGAGACATAGTATATGTTTATGAACTTACATGTCCAAGAAGGTTAAGGTCATGGTCTGAATGATGAAACATTCGGTTCCTTTTGCCACTCATTATTTCTAAAATTATGACTCCGAAGCTAAAAACATCTGATTTCATTGAAAAGAGACCATCAATCGCATATTCTGGAGACATATAACCACTGCATATCATTATCAAAGAAAACTAAACTTCAGGCATGAACTTAAATCTATAGTTTATCCTAAATCAAGGAAACATTACATTGTTTACTTACTAAGTTCCAACCACCCTTTCTATTTTTGTTGATGATTGATCATGTCCAAAAGCTCTGGCCAAGCCAAAATCAGAAATTTTAGGATTCATCTCACTATCAAGTAACACATTGCTAGCTTTAAGATCCCTATGAATTATTCTCAATCTTGAATCTTGATGAAGATAAAGAACCCCTCGAGCAATGCCCACAATAATGTTCAATCGTGTACTCCATGTAAATGATTTACTTTTTTTTTCTACACCTGCTAAGAAAAATTCACCAAAGAGTTTTGCTTAGTTTATTAATTTTTTTTCGTAAAGCATTCTTGTTAGACAAACTTGTTTGGCAATAATACTTTTTTTTATTGGTCAAATATAACTTGCACGTAAGAAAGATATGATACATGATCCAATGGCCCCAAATGTCCCCAAATCCCATATCATCGACATCCATTTTATTATATCATAAATTCTAGGTTATGAATGTTTTGGGACAGAGAATATAAAAAATTATAGACAAAGGATCCATGGTTGAAAGATACATAAGAAGGTTGAGGAGGCACACCAAAAATGAAGGAATCCAAGCTTCCATTGGGCATATACTCATAAACTAACATTCTTTCTTCTCCATGGATGCAACATCCCAAAAGCCTAACTAGATTTCGATGTTGAAGCTTGGCAATCAAAATAACCTCATTTTTGAATTCATCCACACCTTGTTTGGAGCTCATTGAGAGGCGCTTGACAGCTATGTCTTTTCCACTAGATAGCTGACCCTAACGTATTAACATATGGTTTAGAAAAATATTATATAAACTAACAAATCTTGTATATTTTTCTTGCTATAATAAAACTTTGTATTCTAAAACAAAATCTACTTCAATGATATGATAGGTGCCATATCAGTTAGTATGCAAAAATGGTAAGATTTGGTAATTTATATAGCATTACACCAAGATTTATTTTTCTATGAAACAATGGAGCAATGGAATAAACATACTTTGTAAACAGACCCGAAACCACCTTCCCCAATTTTATTTGTATGAGAAAACTGGTTAGTTGCCACTGCAATGGTGATCATATCAAAAATGGGTAATTCTAGTTTTTCTTCATCACTGGCTTGATTGTTGAATCCAGCATCTATTAATCACAAAACACACAAGAAAATGTAGAGCTCATCAAGTTCACTATTTGGTATTGAAATAAGGAGGAAAAACAAACCCTACAAATTTTACATGGTAGTGTTTAGTTTACTGAAACAAAATGACAATTTCATCAAAAAAATCATTTCTCACATTTAGCTAACCAAGAAAATAAAAAAAATACATTAAAAATAAATTTTTTAGTTATCAGTGTAAGGGAATGCTCATGACATATAAATACTAAAACAATATCATTTCAGTTCGTTCTACTTTTATTCAAGTTAACCAAAAAGCTTTCCACATCATACAACTAGCTATCTATGTATAAATGACTCTAGGTGATGAATGAGAAGCTATCTGTTTACCTCTTCTTGCCTTCTTCATTACCAACCAACAAACTAATGAAATAATTAGGGCCAACATCACGACAACAGATGTCACCACAATGGCCTTCTTTTTATCAACACTTATGGACTTCCTCTTCTTCAAATGTTGATCTAGAAAAAAAAAAAAGTACATGGTCATTGATTAAATTTGAAATATGAATTAGCCAGGTAGATCATAATAATGTAAACAGAAAACTTTACTTTGCAAGGATTTCGGTCATGTATGGTTTATCCCCCTAACATTTGGAAATGACTATATAACCTTCTTGTAGTTTGTGGACTAAAGTATACCGTTAGGCCCATTAGCAATTTAATGAAAAAGACTAAAATACTCCTATATTTTCATCATTTATTTGGAAGACAAAGTGTATTTTAACCCCACGTGCTTTATTCTATGTGCATTTTATCCCCTTGTAATGTGGTGGTGGTGGTTGTGAAGTGGCAGTAATAGAGGAGGTGGTGTATCGGTGGTGGTGGTGGTGGTCGTGAAATGGCAGTGATGGAGGAAGTGGTGCTAGTGGTGGTGGTAAAGTGGCAGTAGTAGATGAAGTGGTAGTGGAGCGGTGGTGGTGGAGTGGCGATGGTAGAGGTGGATTGGTGGTAGAAATGGTGCCCGTTTAAACAGGTATAAATGGGTAATCATGTCTAACCCATGTTAACCCAATTTTAATTGGGTTGACAATGAGTAACTCATTTAAGCCTATTTATTGATTTGGTAGAATTTATATGAGTTTTAAATAAATACAATTGGACTCATTTAAACTAGGAATGGCAACGGGGCGGGGCGGGGCCCCGGGGATCACGCTCCCCGTCCCCGATCCCCGATGGTGAAAATCCCCCCGGCCCCGGCCCCGATCCCCGACGGGGAACTTATCTCCGTCACCGCCCCCGCCCCTAACGGGGATCGGGTTTCCCCGACCCCGTAAATTCCCCGGCCAAAAAAAAAAAAAAAAAAAAAGAGAGAGCAAACACAACAGCTATCATCATCATCAACATCAACACATTCTACAAATTCATCATCATCAACATCAACAACAAAATATATAACTATATCTATATCTATATCAAGATCTTGAGAACCAGTGTGTATATACATATATATATATATATGTGTGTGTGTGTGTATATATTATCTCAGAACCGTGGCTATAGATCTGGAGACGAAGCAGAAATGTTCATTGCGATTCAGATCTGGAAGGAGCCTTCTGTCGCCGATCTCTCTGTCACGGCTTCGATCTGAAGGTGGTCATTCATCTCAAGCTGCTCATTCATTTCTCTGAGACAAGAGAGAGAGAGAGAGAGTGTTTAGAACTTGAGAGTAGAGAGAGAGTGAGAGTTGAGAACTGATGATAGATATTAGATATAATAGATATATTAGATATTAGATATATAGCCTAGCCTTCTGATATAGCCATAGCCTCTGGTCAAAAAATATATATAATAGCCTAAACATATATAATAAAGGTTAAACATATATATATACATACGAGATGTTGGTGGTGGTGGTCATGGTGGTGGAGTGGCAGTGATGGAGGAAGTGGTGCTAGTAGTGGTGGTAAAGTGGCAGTAGTAGATGAAGTGGTAGTGGAGCGGTGGTGGTGGAGTGGCGATGGTAGAGGTGGATTGGTGGTAGAAATGGTGCCTGTTTAAACAGGTATAAATGGGTAATCGTGTCTAACCCATGTTAACCCAATTTTAATTGGGTTGACAATGAGTAACTCATTTAAGCCTATTTATTGATTTGGTAGAATTTATATGAGTGTTAAATAAATACAATTGGACTCATTTAAACCATCTCCTTCTCCACTATCAAAACCATCGCCCCAAACTACATGTGATTTTATTTGTACCCAAATATTAATTGAATATATCTAACTACAATTTTAAATTTTTAGTTCTTATATACTCTAATATAAATTTACTAATAAGGATAATACACATTAAACCCTAAAATAAAATTTTTTTTTCTGATGCTACACTCTACTCACTTATACGTATTATTCATATTCAAGTCTCTTTGTCTTTTTTCCCTAAATTTCAATTATTTTCTCTTAATCTTCTTTCTCACTCCATAACTCCATTCCATCCCACCAAAACTCATAATTATTGTGTTGTTACTTACAAATAGAATAAATTTTGAACAAAACCAAACAGTAGATGAGAGTAATACTGATGAGTGTTTTTTGAAGCAATCTGTCAAAGAAAAAATAAGTGATCAAAATTACGAAGCTTGTCACCAGGATTTGCAAAAGAACATAGCACAAATCCACCAGTTTGCACTGAGAGAGAAAAGAGTTTCCCAAGAGTAGATAGTTGTTTCTTACATAGGAAATAGGAAAAATGAGGCTTCTGAGATCAAATGCACACCTACCTTTTATATGTACCAAATAATGGGAGCTTTTCATACCGCAAGTACAAACATATACATACCAGTGACAGAGGCTGAGGGTTTTCCGACTGTCGTCTCCCCTGTATGTGAATATAGAAAAAAAAGATTTTTCAAAATGGTGTAATTTGGATTTTTTGATTTTTTTATTATTTGGGTATACCATTTTATCTTGAAAGGTAATTTGTGAAGAAACATAGAATGCATTTGGAGTAAATTATAATCATAAATAATTCAATAGGGAGCACTGAGAAATTGAACATGCAAAATGATTTTTTGGGCGCAAATAAAATCTCTCCCCAAACTACCCTTGAATTGATATTTTTTGTCAAGCATGGTTATGAAGGGTGTTAATGGAATGAGATGGGAAAGAAACACAAATATTAAGGATATTTTGTCTCTATGATGTGGGAAGAGTGAGGACATTTTTCTTCCATATCCAATGAAGTAGTTATTTATATCTAATTAACGTAATTTTTTTAAGGGGGATAATGTACTTAACGGGTTTTATACATTAAATAGATTAAATTATCAACATAGGCCCGAACTAGGACCCACCAAAGCTGAGCAGTCCTCTCTAATAATTGAAGAGGAGCCAAGTCCCTTCATAGATATAGATAACTACAATCACTTAAATCTTTTTTACAACTTAAGAGGTAACTAATCCATGTAATTTTAAAATAATCAACAATTAATATTAATATATAAAGAGAATTTCTGAAATTGTAGAGGGGCGATGCCTCCCTTTGGCCTATTCTTGGCCAAGTGTATTGTACCTTTTTAGAAACTACCACAACAAAAATAAATAAAAATAAAAATAAATAAATAAAACAGAGACAAATAAAAATCTACACAATTATCAATGATTTTAGATAGGTGGGTAGCATAATGAAATTGGTTAATTAACATACCTATTTCATCAGCATCAACACGTATATACCAGTCAAGCAGAGCACTATCGGACTTTCTTACATCCATTAAATCTCCATACCATGTGATACAGTTGCCCGAATCAGCTACACTTGAGTAAGCCTTGCAAGAACAATTCATCAAGCACCCCGCTTCACACTCATTCATGCTCAGTTGCGGTGCCACAAGTGCCCAAGATGTATCTGGAATCTTTGCACGTTCGACCTTCACGAACCCTTCTCCATTCCCACACGTGCCAAGGCCCGCACGCTTCTTCTCCACACACCCGCCTGTTGCATCTCTTAAATTCCATTGCTTCGCTGACTTGGGCTCGTGCCCTGGAAGACACGTGCACTCAAACCTTGTTGGCAATTTGCTTTCGTCACAATAGCCATACGCACCACACTGCCCATAATTGTCACATGGTTCAATCGGGGCCGAGTAGAACTCGACCCATTTACCCTGACCCTGACCCTCCACATCGACCCACGTATCCATTTTTAACCCCCCAACAAGTTCGTCCAAAAAAAATTTAGACAAACTCGAGCCATTGACCTGATCATAAGCTATACTGACTTCCTCAGGATCGTCAATGTACTCCGAGTTGAACATGACATTAGTGAAATTGTCAGTCAGTTTGCTCGAGATCCATGGTAAGATCCGATATAATGGGACTGCGCCCTTGTACAATACAAGTTGGGGCCACCCACTTGGTACCATCCTATACGAGTATTCTCCTGTGCCCGGATCGTCTTTCGACTTCCATGATGTCAGGAACCGGTCCAGACCTGTCCTCCGGTCCAGCCCGAGTTTCATGTTGGGCAGTAGAGTATTCGTAGGATGATCAAAACTTTGCCATGCAACAAAACTTTCATTTTTAGTATCACTGCCTCGAAACAACAACATCAAATTCCCCGAATCCAAGAGTCGAGCTGAATAAGAATTGCTCGTGGCCATCACTGGTGCTGAAACGTTTGTATGCCAAAGTGTAACGTTATGGGAATTGTCATCGTAGATGACGAGGTTTCCATGTTGGTCGATAGACATTGTGCCGGATGTACCGTTGATTGGTTTGTCTCGATTGGCGACCCAAACTACGGTTTGTTCAGAGATCTTGTAGTACCATATTCCAACATACCTACGATTGGATGTTCCATTTCCCGGACTGAAAAAACCAAGTGCGAAGGTCTCAGCGTTGGAGACTAAAAGGTCACCGTCTTTGATGGGTTGGTTTGGAGTTAAGGTGTATCGGGATTTGCAAAATCCAAAGAAAAGAAACAGATGCAACAAAATATTGAACACCCAATTTTCAAGATTCGTCATTTTGGGTTCGTGAAATTGAGGGACACAATGTCAGAGCATCCCCCAACAATGTTACTTATATTTCTTTCTAATTTGACTTAAAATGTGTGTATTTTTATTTTAATGTTATGTTTGATTAGGAAATTTGTGAAGAAATTTGAAAAAAATAAAAATAAAAAACGTGTGAAATTAAGTGAAATATAAATATATTTTATTCACATTTTACATGTCTTTTCCCTTCTCATTTTCAAATCCCTTTTCAAATCTCTCAATGAAACGCAACGTAAGGATCACTTTTTCAATTACTTTCTAATACTCTTTATTCTTTCATTATTTGATGTAAATATTATTTTATTATTCTTTCTGAATTAAACTTTTTTTTAAAAAAAGTTCACGTAACAATTAAGCTAGAGAGAGTGAAGAGAAAAGAAAAATAAAGAAAGGTAAATTAATAGGGATGAACAGTGACTCTTTATAGCATTTGTTAAATTAAGAAACTTTTTAAGAAGTCAGTTGAAAATGAGTTTTAAAATTTTCACACCTTAAAATAAATAAAAATTAATAATAATAGGGAATCTGTTGAGATGCTCTAAACAGAGCATAGTGTTCTTTCATGTAAAATGCCAGTGGTGCCGATTTTCCTCGCAACAATGATTTAGACCACTAAAAATACATCATTAATAGCATTAATGTATTGGGAATGGCCAAAAAAAAAACAAACAAAAACAAGATATAGAAAGTGAGCAGAGCCCACTAACACATCATTAATGCTCCCTCTAGTACTCCCTTTTTAATGCTTCCAAGCATTTTTCTTTCCTCGGTGATGTTATTTGTGTTCACACATGACAGTCAATGAAATTAAATGCCAGTGGTGCCGATTTGTGTTGAAGTCATGGTGTCACTGCAGTTGCAAAGTCCAAAAAAAAGAAACAGAGGATTAATCAATAAAATGTTCTTTAAGAAGTCAGGTTTCATGTTTTTGGTTAGAAATTTCTTTGTGATTGAGGGATAATAAAATGTTCTTGTAAAATTAATGCCCATATTGTCAATTTTTTATTTTTTTATTTTTTGAGGATGGGCTGTTGGATATTATTGTATTATTATTGGGTTTACATAGTCAATGGATTTGATTTCGCATCATGGGCCAAAATTGGGTTCATTGACTTAAAATTGAAAGCGATTAAATGCTTGGACTCCATGAATTACTCTTTGATCAAATAATACTAATCAGTAACAAAATTATAAACTAATCATAGGATTAATCAATCCAGTAAAATAATAAAATTATAAATAAATAAGATGAATAGTTGCCCATGGATCAAGTCTCTTCTGCAATGCTTTTTTTTTTTTTTTTTTTTAGTTTTGCAATGCTGATGTAGAATAGTCCTTTTGGTTGTTTTAGGACTGGTTTAATTCTGATTCTAGGGGTTCCATTAATTAGAGGTACCGATAAATGGAACCCCTATGTAAATGTAATTTGGTGGTGCTACATGCACTAACTAATGTACACATTAGTGTACCAACTAGTATTATGCCATTATTACTGACCCTACCTATTATACAAATTACAAATATTCAAAGCTTCTAAAATTATGTCACATCGTCTGTTAGTATACTAATTAGTACATTAATTGGTATATATAGCATTATTCAATGTAATCAATTTCATTTCAACTTGCTAATTATCACATCTGCAGATTTTGCATAGTGAATGTGCGGGGAGCAAATATTCTGGCAAGCCTGCACTCCTTTCTTCCAAGCACCTCCTTGTCCGATCGACCTGCGAGCACAACGGCGGTGAGTTACCCGGCGGTGTGTGGCCGGAAAACCCCTCCGACGATCAAGTTACACACACACACAAGAATAGAGAGGGAGAGAGAGGAGGGTGTTGAGTGTTTAGTGTATGTCTCACCAAATTGTCATTTGTCTAGGCATGGGGGGCGCAGACCCGCTTATATACCTTCTGCGCCCCAAATCTACTCTCATTCGTCTCTTGACACGTGGTGCTGCTATCCTATCCGTCAGCACAAATCTTGCTGTACATTACCTAACCCAACTGCCAGCCCACTCTGCTGGGAGCTCGGCAACCGGGGTACAACATCACGACCACCGACATCCAGGCTGCACTTCATGCCCAAGTGTAGCAATAGCCGAGCTCTGTCCCTATAGTGCTCGACTGCATTCCGGCGAAGTCGAGCTCCGGAAAGGTTATGTCGATCAACCAAAGGCCTTCTTGCTGAGCTTCTGGCACGAGCTTTCCTACCGAGCCAAAGGCGTATGCCTTCTGGCCGAGCAACGCAAGTTGCACAGTCACCACCTGTGCGAGTAGTTCGGCCACGAGCCGGGTGGCCCAAACTCCGGGCAAGTCCTAAGCTATCTCGGCCCAACACGCCCTTGGGCCTTCAACTTGCTCGGCTTTTATCTCGGCCCACTCCCAGCTCATAAATCCCCCTCTCAATTACACCTTAACTTCGTCCGCGCAAGCGTGACTGGGATTATTTATCCTGACCGGGGTAACACTTCCTCGGTCTTCGGTTTTGTAAGAAGTCAACCGAGCTAATTTTCTTGCTCGGCTCCGTGATTCACTCGGTCGACGCCTCGTCTGGCCTTCCTGTCTTTTCAACTCTGACGCTGCCATTAATGGGGGCACGTGTCAATCTCTTATTGGCCCTCGAGCAGCCAACCCAACCGTCCCCTCAAATTTGAATTTGGGCGGCTTCTTCCCCTCTATAAACATGCCCCTTCTCGCTTCCTTTTATTTCTACTGCCTCTCTTCAAGTTTTTGACGTTTCAGAGCTCAAGCACCCACAGCAAAACTTCGTCCCTGCCATTCCTTGCATTAGTGCTCGAAGAAGTTGGCCCTGCCCTCAACTGGTAAGTTCCTTGAACCTCGTTTTTTGCTATTTCAATCAGTGTTTCACATATTAGGGCACTAAAAACATAGGTTTTAGGGCATTAGGCACCCAAAACCGTCTCTAACCCTTCACTCTCCTTGTTGTTCTTCATTTTCTCTGATGAACACTGAGGATCTGGAGCGGACCGAGCTCCAGGTCTTCATTCGATCCAAAAAATCATTAAGACTGAGCAAATGACCAGTTTGCCAAAACCTTTAGCAGAAACCGGGGTAGGCAGGGAGCTTGGCCGCTCGACCGGGCTAACATCTGGTCCACTTGAGGGGCCGAGCTCCTTGGTATACCTTTAAGACCAAGGCGGTTGTTACTCTTCATGACCGAGCCAAAGTCAAGCTCGTTTTGCGCGACCGCGCTCACACTTACCGTTGCCATCCTTTTCCTGCAGAGTCCAAGGGGACCACTTGACCAAATATTGAGGCTCTCAAAGACCGAGCAGCCATCAAGACACCAGTCTGTGCCATTCCACCTTAGCCGAGCTAAACCAGCCGGCTACAAATGGGGCGCTTCCGCTTCCTAGTTGACACCCTGCCTGCCTTGGCCGTATTCTGGGAAGATTACGGTATCCCGACAGATGTTCACCTAGAGCTGGCCGAGATCGAGACAACCCCTTGGGGCAGATTAGACCAGTGCCCCTTTCACCGTTCTTTCCATTGTTAAAGGAGGCCTCCGCTTCCCGGTCAATCCTCTGCTGACCGAGTTTCTACGCCGCATCGGGTTTGCACCCACACACGTATCAACCAACACCTACCGAATAATCAACGGCATTCACGAGCTAAATAACCGGCTAGGGACCAATTAGGTTTAGCCGAGATACTACGACAGTACACACTTGGGCACACGGGCGACGACCTCTCCTATTACTTAAAAATTCGACTGGGTAAAGAAAAGATAGTGACCGGCACCCCGACAAGGACTTACACGATGACG